GAAACAACGAGTTTTTTTTTTTTTTTGGCCAGTTCCTCACATATCTTTACGTCCAGACATAATAATTTTTAGGAGAGATATTAGATGTGAAATGGGCTTGTATTTAAATTGTATTGATTATATCAATACAATCAATAGAACTAATACAAGATCAAAATTGGCACCTTTCACATTTTTCCTCATCCGCATGTAATAATTTCCTGTTTTTTTCAGTGAGTCAGAAATGTTCGGTGCACTTCCTGCCATTTGTGCTCAGAAGGAGCGAAAGGTTAGTTGAAGTGGAAGTGGGATTTTGAGCGGGAGGGCCAATGGAATCATGGTTTTACGCTCTCATCATTGTCTTTTTATACAATTTGACGAAATTACCCTTTAAACACTTTTTCTGATTTCTTAAATGCGGGTAGACAAGTATAAGAGAGCCAGGCATTTTACTGCAATTATAAATCCCTAAAAATATGCATTTAAATAATTATTTGTATTTATAAATTTAGTAACTAGCATTTATTTTTTATAAGTTCAATAAATAATTAATTTATAAGCTTGATAAAGTTTGTTTTGATTTGAAAATAAATAGCTCAATCATAGTACTCCTTAGTTTATTTGGATAAGACTAGTTTGATTAGAAAATAAATAGGGCGATAGCACTAATTTTCATTTACTCGATGAAAGCCTTTTTTTGATAGAAATTAAATAGCTCGAAAATGACTTGATTAACGTCATATGAAAAAAAATATAAATCGAAGTCAGACATGTAAAATGACGATGAACATAAATACAAAAGCTCGGCTCGAGCTCGAATGTTATAAATAAATGCTAGCTTGATCACAATCCTAAAAGTTAAAAACGCTACTCTAGTGGGGATGACTCGGTAAGTGGCTTGGTTTTGCTATATAAAAATATCAACATAATAATTATTTATTAAAGCAAAAATAATAAGAAAAATGAGGCATGTAGTATGATCAATAAACAAAGACGGTTTACTATGTGTAGAATATAATTTGAAAAGACTAACACATTCATATGATAATGAATAAGAGGGACTTGAACACATGTACTTTTATATAAATATTTACATGCTATAACATCAGGTATTTTTGTACAAATATGACATATTAATCGTTTAACACTACACGATAATATACCATTTCAACATATACATAAATACATGTATATAATTTTATTTACATATAGTAAGTTTACTACATCACCCTGAAACAATGAATCATATGCACTGATCCCATGAAGATCCACTAATTTCTCTGAGGACCCGTCGATACGACTAGCCGTAATAAAAAAAGTTTAACACCAACATAATAATATTAGTTATATTTCATGCATCACAAGTAAGATAACTATAAACTGTCCACTGATAATTGTAAACAATTATAAAATATGAAATAATGAGATTTGTCACATCAAATTATAAAAGAACTAATACATATTAAAATCATGAAATGTGAACAATTAGACCCATGACTAAGAAGCAATAAACAATATTATTTAGACCTTAAAGTTATTATGATCAAAAATAGAAACTGTTGTAATTATATGAATGAAATTTAAATGGGTATGAATGACAAACTTACATTTAATTAGAAATATAATACAATTAGCAACAATATGACCCATAATTAGGTAGGGTCTGTTTATCCCGTAATGAAAAACAGTAACTTAACTCAAGGCAACAAACACAATGCTTTTATGAATTTGATGACTCGACTATCAATCCTACATCAAATAAAAGTTAAGATTAACTATGCAGTTAAGTTTTAACTTTACTTTGGTATAACCTAATTAATGTTTATTATTATTTTTATTATTTTTTTATTATAATATTTTTAAAAGAAATAAATTATAAACATTAACCTAACTAAAATAATTAAAAATTTTTTTTTGTTTTTGTTTCATTTTTATAGGGGGATAATCATAATTTCTTAATAATTTTTTTGAGGAAGAAATTACATATGTAACATCTAAAACCTAATCAATATTATAAAAAATAAAAATATATTCCAATCTTGTTGTTTCTTAAGCCTCGTTTCTCCTTTGTTTCTGTCTTAAATCTCGGATTAAGAGTTCTGATTGTGGTTGATGGGATTTAGAGAAGCCGAGGGGATTTAGAGAAGCTCAGTCGTGTGAAGGTGGGTGGGACGAAGGGGAAAGACGAAGGTTACCTTCCTTAGTGGTTTCGGTTATGAGCAGACGAAAAGGGTAGGAAGTGGGTCACCTTTGCACACCACGATCTTGTCATTGCCTTCACTGCTAGCTCTGATCGCGAGGATTCAGAGGAGGGGAAAGGTAGGAGCTTCGGTGGTCTTGGTATGTCGTGATCCGATCGTTGCCTTCCCACTAGCTCTAGTAGAGACGATGTTGCAAGAATTCAACTAGAGAGGTGAGAGGGAGAGCGAGTGACGAGGAGAGAGAGGGAGAGGGAGAGGGAGAGGGAGATTGGAGGGCTTCGATAGCTATAGGAGGCAAGGGAGAGCGGGTGGGATGAGCGACACCCTAATCCAAGCTCTATTTTTATAGAGAGAGATGTGACAACAATCAAGCAAATTGGAAAAGGTGGTAAGATGAGGGTGGCACACAAATCAGAAAGATATCGGTAAATGAAAAAAGTTGTGCGAATTCGAGGGAAAAGTTATAAAAAAAGAAATTCAAATCCTTATTAAATATAAACTTTAAATTTAATATATTTTGAATATATTTTTTATTAATATTTTTTTGAACGGCTAGTCGGGGCTAGCTTGAGCTTAATTTGTTAGCTCATCGAGCTTCTTTCAAGAGCCGAGCTCGAGCCAACTCACGAATCAGATTGATTCACTGACACACCCAGCTGTACTCGTGTGATTAGTTTGCAGCCCTAATCTGATGAGTGACCTATTATGTAGCATACTTCCTTTTTGTCTTCAATTTCGAGCTTCTTTCCTTCGTTTTTTTAATCAATTATTTAAATGCTATTTAAAAATGATTTTTTTTTTTTAAATTTAAAGATCAAAACTAGTGGATTGCAGCTAACCACGTTGCACCGCTCTCCATCAAAACCCAATCCAATTTTTCTACCCAACAAAAGCGAACACTCTCCATTTGGAAAAATTATTCCATGCGGATCGGCGTCCGCACGCAGCTTGCGTGCGGACGCCGATAAATCACATGATTTACGGTCCGGATGTATTTCGGTGGGCCCCACCTAAAATTTTTTATTTTTTTTTTAAAAAACGGAAATAATCCTGACCGTAGATCACCGTGATCTACGGCCAGGATCGAACACCGCATGCAGAGATGCATGCGGTGTCCGCACGCAATAATCCCCCCTCCATTTGAACGATCGGCTATATCTAATTAGTGGACTAAATTGTAAGACACTTCTCCTTGGTCTTCAATTTAAAGCTTTTTTCTGGCTTTCAATATATTCTTTAAATGCTATTAAAAATTTGATTTTTTCAATCTAATATCACTACCAGTGTTGCAGCTGACCACGTTGCTCTTTTGCTCCCCCACAAAATCAAAAGCCGCTTCCTCCCTGTTCTCTACTCCCAACTCTTCTTCCTCTCTCCACTCACTCTGCCCACAACCGCAAGCAAAGCCAAACTCAAAGCTCGGCCTTTGACTGAACTCCACCCCAAGCAGCCATGGCTTCCACATCCTATGTTCTTTTCTCCTCATCCTATTCCTCTTCCATTTATGGCGGCTCACTCCACCCCAGATTCCCCTCCCTTCCTCTACCTCTCTCCCTCCTCCCCCGTCGTCAAAACCCCTCCTTTCGATCCCAACTCCCTCCCCCTAAGAAACCCCTTACTTTCTCCTCCAAACCTCGCACCGCCACCGCCGCCACCGCCACTGCCACCCTCCTTCTTTCTGCCCTTGCACCCGTCGCCCTTGCTTCTGACGACCTCTCTCCACTCGTCCCTCTCCCTCCTTCCTTATCCCCTCCCATCCAGCTAGAATCAACCGCAAACCCTAACCTTTCCACACCAAATCCCTTCTCTCAATCCCTCCTTACAGCCCCAAAACCTCAATCCACTGATCTCCCAGAATCGTCCCAATGGCGCTACAGTGAATTCCTCAACGCCGTCAAGAAGGGCAAGGTCGAGCGTGTCCGCTTCAGCAAAGACGGTGGTGCTCTCCAGCTCACAGCCATCGACGGTCGCCGCGCCACCGTAATCGTTCCCAACGACCCTGACCTAATCGACATCCTGGCCATGAACGGCGTGGATATCTCCGTCTCCGAAGGAGAGGGCGGCAATGGCCTCTTCAACTTCATCGGTAACCTCCTCTTCCCTTTCCTCGCCTTTGCTGGCCTCTTCCTCCTCTTCCGCCGCGCACAAGGTGGCCCCGGTGGCGGCCCGGGAGGGCTTGGTGGACCCATGGACTTCGGTCGGTCTAAGTCGAAGTTTCAGGAGGTTCCTGAAACTGGAGTTACCTTCGCCGACGTTGCAGGCGCTGATCAAGCCAAGCTCGAGCTTCAAGAAGTCGTCGATTTTTTGAAGAATCCTGATAAATACACGGCTCTTGGTGCTAAGATTCCCAAAGGTTGCCTTTTGGTTGGGCCGCCGGGAACTGGGAAGACGCTGCTAGCTCGGGCGGTCGCCGGCGAGGCTGGTGTGCCCTTCTTTTCGTGTGCTGCTTCAGAGTTTGTTGAACTTTTTGTTGGAGTTGGAGCTTCAAGGGTGAGGGATTTGTTTGAGAAGGCAAAGGCGAAAGCTCCCTGTATTGTTTTTATTGACGAGATTGATGCGGTTGGAAGGCAGAGAGGGGCTGGGCTTGGTGGTGGTAATGATGAGAGAGAACAGACCATTAATCAGCTCTTGACTGAGATGGATGGATTTTCGGGGAATAGTGGGGTCATTGTTCTTGCTGCTACTAACAGGCCTGATGTTCTTGATGCTGCTTTGTTGAGGCCGGGAAGGTTTGATCGGCAGGTTACTGTGGATAGACCTGATGTTGCTGGTAGAGTAAAGATCTTGCAGGTTTGTAGTCTAAATTGAGGCTGTTGATTTCTTCAGAGACTCTTCCAATTTATGAAAGTTATTTTAGATTATTGTGATTAGTGCATAAATATCATAATTATGTGGTTTTATTAGCCTTTTTTTGACTTGGTAAATTCTTAGATATAGATATTGTAATATGCCTCTTTTGATACAATCATCTAACAATGCACCAAATTAAGAGTCCATAAAAGTTAGGGGCTAAGTCACCTGCAACTTGCATTAACTCAAACATATTGTAATCCTAATGTGTTGAAATCAGTAAATTCTCACTTTGATCTTTTTTGGTCTATTCATAATAAGATTTACTTGATTTCTCAACTGCTATTAAAATTGTATGTATGAGAAACTTTTCGCCCATGCCTTGCACAAGTAAAAGTTATAAAACTTACTCCCATCTATATAGAGTAGTTTTTTGTCGGGAAAGAG